ACCGCAAAAAACTGGTTACATGGGCAGGTGAGCCACTGGCAGAGGAAATCACGAGTCCAGTTGTTTGTTGTAGTTTTGATGTTACAAGAGAGTCCAAGGGAGATGTTAGAAAAACAGCTGGAAATTCGAGACAGATGGAGAGTTCCATTCTCTCTGCATGATCGTGAAGCCACAGACAGAAGTGAGCTCACGAAGTGGGATGCTCAGAGGGAGAGGTAGTGAGGACTCAAGTGAGAACAAGGCAAGGAGGGGCTCCTGGCAGATGGCCGAAGCCTTCTGTGGAAAGGAGGTGCAGAATCATCCACGGAAGGCGAGAGCTAGAGGAAGGAGATTCGAGGAAGGAATAGGACAGAGGATGAGCTAATGGCTATGGTGAGCACTCCAGGAAGCTGTAGGGAAGATGAGTGACACCCATTTTACTGAGCAGTCATGACGCCAGCTGCTTAACCCTCACGTGCAGAATCAACATTTCACTTGTTGAAATGATTGTTCATTTCAATCGTCCATTTCAAGGGTAAAACAATAAGAGGCTCTGAGAGGTTAACCAACTTGCTCAAAGTCACACACCTAAAATGTATATCAGTTCATTTCTGCTATGGTCACAAATCACCCTCAAACGTAATGGCTTAGAGCAATAATCATTTCTTTTCCTCCAGACGATTCTGTGGGTTGGCAGGTGGTCCAGTTCAGCAGGGAGCTTTTCCTGCTGGTCTTCCCTGGGCATGTTCACAAGGAACTAGTGATTTAGGGGGTGCCACGGTCGGGAATGCCTGGAGCTAAACCACCGGAGAGCAGCATGGTCCGAGGAAGCTAATAGATTCCGTGACTTAGAAGTTAATAAATTTAGAATAGATGCAATTAGAATGAGAACAAAATATCCAAAGTAACAGGAACGGAGAGCGAATCTAATATGTGGTAGAGAGCAGCTGCCTACAGCACACGGTAATAACAACAATTAGAGCTAATGGCTGTTGAGCATTTGCAGTGGGCCAGGCGCTGCTCTGAGGGCTTTTATGCATGATCTCATTTAATCCCCACCGCAATCCGATCCGGCACGGTCGTTAGCTTTATCTTTCAGTGAGGAAACAGGCTCAACATGCCTGGTCGCTTAACCAAGATGAATCCAGGCAGAGGGGTCAGGAGTTTGGAATTTGGAAGAAAGGTTTGATTGAGTGATTACAGTCTTGGTGTAGATGTCTTAGAATAATGAATTCCAGGACGTGAGCCTGTTGGATGCTGACTAATACAAAGAAAAGTTTTAAAGGTAATGAGGACACAACTATGAGCCAAAGATACTGAAGGTCATGAACTTGGCTATGGAAGTCAAAAAGAATAACGATGGGGCTTCCCTGGTGGCGCGGTGGTTGAGAGTCCGCCTGCCGATGCAGGGGACGCGGGTTCGTGCCCCGGTCCGGGAAGATCCCACATGCCGCGGAGCGGCTGGGCCCGTGAGCCATGGCCGCTGAGCCTGCGCGTCCGGAGCCTGGGCTCCGCAACGGGAGAGGCCACAACAGTGAGAGGCCCGCGTACCGCAAAAAACAAAACAAAACAAAACAAAAAACAAAAAGAATAACGATGGATAGATAATAAGGCAAAAAATTTAAAAAAGAACGCAAACCATGTCCTGAAGTCTCCAGTAAAATACAGGATGCGAAAAGTTTATACAATACTGTGAAACAAAAATAATAGACAAACACAGGAGAGGACGTATTGTCTGGACATGCCAGCTGTACTCTAGTAACAAACAACTCCCGAACCTCAGAAGAGAAAATAACCAAGGTATCTTTCCTGACCAACCACGGTGGGTTAGCTGTGGGTTCTGTTCACCCTTGTAACTCAGGTATCCAAGCTGACGGAGGCTTCATTCAATGCCTGCTTCCACAGGGAGATCAGCTCGGTGCTTTGTGCCCACCTAGAGGGGTGGGATAGGGAGGGTGGGAGGGAGACGCAAGAGGGAGGGGATAGGGGGATGTATGTATATGTATAACTGATTCACTTTGTGATACAGCAGCAACTAACACAACATGGTAAAGCCATTATACTCCAATAAAGATGTTAAAAAAAAAACGAAGCCAAAAAACACCTGCTTCCATAATCACTGTGTCCGCAAAAGAGGTACATCGCAGGCCAGCTCTTAAAGTTTCCATTTGCATGTTTTGGGCCAAGGCAAGTCACTGGGCCATACTAGCCTCAGGGGAATCTTACTGTGTGCCTGTAAGTGGAGAAGACCCAGAAATACTTGGAGAAAGGTTGCTAATGACAACCGCAGATACATTCTTGAGGATTCTGCTACGACATGAGACACATAACTAGAACATAGGTGTGGTATAGTCTAGGGATAGCACAGGGACACCAGCTGAGTATGCAGAATGAAATGGGGTGCAAGGGAGACAGAGCCGGGTGGTGAGGCCAGGTGAGGGGCAGCGGGATCAAAGCACAGTCAGGGTCACTCTCCAAATGGCAGCTGTGTGGATGGAAGATGCTGCAAACAGGGAAGCTTACTGTTAGAGCAGCTTGGAGTTCTCCTGAGCTCTCTCCTATTCAGGAAACTCTATTCCATATTAGGATGAGAAGGTTCTTTTCCTTTTGGTCCAACCATTCTCCAAGTCTGCCCTGGGATAATGTATTAGCAATTCAAGGGTGGGGTGAGAACTTCACTGGGGACAAGAAAGGCCTTAAGTAGAAGTGGCCAGAATCATGTTATCCCCAGGGCCCGGGGGCTCCATAGCTGGGCATGTGCCAGACTGTTAGAAAAACAAACATATCAGCTGTTAATAGGTGTCTAAGCTGGGCTCATCGTTACAATTCTTCAGAAGGTTTTAACTTTATGTATCCTAACAACCAACACAAAAATGAAAATGCCCCAAGCTACTTACTTTTCATTTTCAAATAAAATAAAACATGGATATTTATCTGCAAAGACAAACCTTTAAGTGTAAATACATTCCAGGATGAATTTGCTATTTGTGAATTACTGGCATAACGGACAATATTTTTCGTTACAGGTTTCCAAGTGACAGTGCTATTCAGAGATTGTTATATTCACCTACTTGAGTGTCCAGGGCACAGCTTCACATCTGTCACTCTGGGAGGGCTTTTAAGGAAGGAAAGGGACTTTTGAGATAATGTTTGTTTGTTTTTTGATTACCTACATTCCTAAGGTATTTAGGACCTAAAGAAAGTAGAAGAATGCATTGATTATTTTTCTACTAGATTGTCTTTCTTACATATCAGATGTTTCAGCTAAGCTTGTACTAGATCTCAGTCAATTTATGCGTGAATTCTTTGACAGCTACCAGGAACGCATCATGAGTAGAGAACTTAAGTTATGCACAGTCCTGTGACTCACCCATAAAGAGCTTTGTTCCTGAAATCTAGATAGTAGCAAGGACCAGCCTAGGCCTATTTTAATGAGAACTGTTGGTGCAAGGCAGGCTTCTTAAATTTCAGCACAGACATCAGAAATGGAAGCAAAACCTATGTAGTGGGGAAAAATAAACAGATTTTAAGAGCAAAGCGGCATATTCTTTCCTCTCTGAGAGTTTGGCAAAAATGTCCTCCCTTCAAAGCCAGCAGGACAAGCAAAGTAGCCAAGGATTGAAAACAAAACAACCCAAATGAAGGGAAGGAAAAGAGACGTTTAAAGAAGGTCACTCACCACATGTGCCGGTCACAATATCACAGCTCGTTCAAGGGGAGCTTAATCGTCTCTTCCCTGAAGTGCCAGCTCATGGAGCTGCAGGATTTGCTTGAAATGTGTCTTTTCATTGAAGAGCTGTTATTCAGTAACATCTACACACTTTGGGTCCTCAGGAAGGGTTCAGCACGTAATTACCTATTCATGAAAGACTGCACTGTAATTATGAGATGGTCATGTATGGTTAATTCGAATAAGGATGTTAATGTTCTCTGAAGCTTGTAGATCTGACCTCGGGTAGAAGACACCCCTGGTTGTAACCCCACCTTCCTTCTTGCTAACAAACCCCCAGTTAATCCAGGTTTCAGATGGTCTGTGTTTGAGGGAAGGTGAGCTCTTTCCCCACCCCAGGGCTTGAATCTCGATAAACCCAGATCCATCAGAGAATTCTATTCTGTTCACCAGGGATTGGCTTAGATAAGGCTCATGACTCAGTTCTTTTCTTAATCAGCATATGTGAGGTATATACTTCTACACATAATAAAATCCAGCAATTTTAAGTGCACAATTTGAAAAGATCGACAAACGTAAACAGCCCTGTAACCACTGCCAGGTTCACGACATACATTTTCCTCACCCCCAGAAGTTTCCTGTTGTCTTTGTGCAGTCAGCTCCTTCCCCCACCTTCTAGAAACAATTGCTCTGCTTTATGTCACTATGGATTGGCCTTCGCTAAGTCATCACGTGCATGGAATCGTACAGTATGAGGTCTGTGTACCTTCTTTCACTTAACCTAACACCCTGAGACTCTTCCATGATGCTCGGTGATTCAGTGGCCTCTTGGACACATGGCTGAGCGGCTCTCCCCTGGACACCACTAGTACCATAATTTACTCGTCAGTTTGGATGGATGACAGACTTTGGGCTCATACTTGCAAAGCTGTTGTGAACATCCAAGGACAAATTTTTGCACGGACCTGTGTCGCCGTTTCTCAGTAAATACCTAGGAGTGAGATTGCTGAGTCATAGGCAGGTATATGAGAACTCTTTAAGAGGCTGCAAAAGCGTTTCCAAAGCGGCATTGCCATCAACAATTCTTGATTTCCAAGATTTCCGGTTGCTACACATCCTTGCTTACATTCGGTATTGTTCCTCTTTTTTTTTTTTTGCAGTACGTGGGCCTCTCACTGTTGTGGCCTCTCCCGTTGCGGAGCACAGGCTCTGGACGCGCAGGCTCAGTAGTTGTGGCTCACGGGCCCAGCCGCTCCGCGGCATGTGGGATCTTCCCGGACCGGGGCACGAACCCGTGTCCCCCACATCGGCAGGAGGACTCTCAACAACTGCGCCACCAGGAAAGCCCCTGTTCCTCTTTTAAATAGCAATGATTCCAGCGGTGGGAATTCAGCGTAGTTTAATTTGCATTTACCAATGACAACAGATGATATGATAATCATTTTTTCACGTGCTTATTTGTCATTTGTACCTCTTCTTTAGTGACATGTCTGTTCAAATCATTTGTCTTTTTTAAAAAAAAAACTCAGTTTATCTTCTTAATATTGAATTGTCAAAGTTCTTTATGTATTCTGGATATCAATCCTTTAGCAGATATGCTTCAAAAACATTTTCTACCAGCATATGCTTGTCTTTTCATTTTCTGAATAGTTACTTTTTAAATGAAAAGATTTTCATCTTTAGAACACTTTTAGATTTACAGGAAAAGTGAGCACCTCTCATTTCCTCACTCCACAAAGCTCCTTGAACACTGGTGGGCATGGAGCAGTCTTCTTCTGAAGAAACTACAGGAGAATTAACATTAATAAAGGTAAGTATTCCAGTCCATGAAACACCCTACATCTCTCTAGGAATGTCTGCAGGGGACAAAACACCAGGTGACATAAGTGAGCTGACTCCTGACAAGCCCCCTACTGTGTTATCTGGCACATTCTATTAAATATTGTGCAAATTTAAATTAAATGAGGGAGCAAAATGAAACAAAAGAGCAAAAACCTCCCAAATAATAAGTTTAGTCATAATTGTCATAATTATATTTTCACTTCTAACATAGGCCTAAAAATAGATTTAAAATATATATAATTTATTTATTATATATATTATACATATATATATTATATATATTATATATTTTATATATATATATATATATATATCCTTCTGCTGGTATTGCTTATTTATTTCAATTGATGGAAAAATCCTCAAGAGATTCCCTCACATTTTGAAAGCAAGCGTCAAACATTTTATTTGGGAAGTTATTACTGTTATCCTCTTGTTTTCTAAATTAGGGATGGTCAAGAATATAATTGAGTCCTTTTGTGGAAAAAAACACGCCTGGCAAACTATGAAGGAGCTGGACTTCGCTTGTTCTAAGAACCTAATCTAACAAAGCGACTTCTTTTCCCCTTATGTGTGGAACTGGTTGAAACACGTCTACAGGCCTGCTTGAGATGATGTGGAAAATGTGACAGAAAAATCACCAGAGTCGTACGTTAAAGGGGACTATTTCTCAATACCCGAGGGAAAAGAGAAAGAGTAACTACAGCCAGGAAATCCAGGAGCGCCTTGGAAAGGGATCCAGAAAGGCCTGGTGATGGCAGACAGGGGAGATTTTGGCAGGAGTGCCAACAGGACACGAGGACATAGAAGGCTGTGGAGGATCACCTCTGGCACACAGACAGTTAAAATGCAGGGGGCAGGGGCTTCCCTGGTGGTGCAGTGGTTGAGAGTCTACCTGCCAATGCGGGGGACGCGGGTTCGAGCCCTGGTCTGGGAAGATCCCACATGCCGCGGAGCAACTGGGCCCATGAGCCACAACTACTGAGCCTGTGCGTTCTGGAGCCTGTGCTCCGCAACAAGAGAGACCGCGACAGTGAGAGGCCAGCGCACCGCGATGAAGAGGGGCCCCCGCTCGCCGCAACTAGAGAAAGCGCTTGCCGCAACTAGAGAAAGCCCTCGCACAGAAACGAAGACCCAACACAGCCAAAAATAAATAAATAAATGAATTTTAAAAAGAATTTACAGAAATACAAAAAAAAAAAAATTCAGGGAGCAGGACAATCTCCCTATTACCTATTTTCGGGGGAGAAGACAAACATTCAAGAAGCGTGTATGTCCCAATGATGCTCTTGGCAGGAAGAGTGGGATCCAAGCAAAATGGTGGCAGGTGGGGCCACGGGGCAATGAGCATGGGGTGAGGGTCTCTCCGTAACTGTGGAGAAACTGAACAACGGTGATGTGTTCCGGTAACTTGTTTAAAAACCCTAAGACGGCCTTTTCTTCAGAAAAAGACTGTTCCATGCCAGTCTTAGAGGAGTTTTGTGGAGTGAGGAGAGAGGGACGGTGTCCGGGGTTAGGAGGAGGATGGAGACGGAGGGAGGACGTGATGGTGTGTGTGTGGGGGGGTGACACAGGGGATGACGGAGAATTCCTCAGAGCAGAGTCTGAACAGGAAGTGACCAAGGGGCCGTGAGGGAATCTTTCAGAGAAGCTCCAGAAGAGGCGGCAGGGCCCAGACTTGCTACCCTAGATGGGGTGGGGACTGCTTCATTTCAATGTGCTCCTAAAGGAAGAAACAGTCCTCAAAGGAAGGGGGATTTGAGGACATCGGTGGGACAGACACGTAGTGAAATAGATGTAAAAAACAGCCCCCTCCTTATGGTTTGTCTATTAACCTGATCAGGCCTTCACTGCTTTGCCCTTTGTGCAGTGCACAGAACTACCTTCCAGACATTCTCTTCTGTACATCATTTACCGTGTTTGATCTTACATCTGTTTACATCAAATTCAACTGCATATAACAGAAAAAGCAAAATAATTGTATTTTCTCACAAAGAATTTTGGAGGAGCCAGTTCAGGACTGGTTTGGAGATTCCAGAAAGTCTTCAGTTTCTGCTCCATCATTCTCTCTCTGAGGCTTCTTTCTTGAAGGTTACCTCGTGGCCCAATAATGACACTGGAGTTTTGGGTGCCTGCAGGTCATCTTTGGGGAGATGACTGATGGGTGTTAGGAAATGTGGAGGGAGACTGGGAAGGGCTGTTGTGTATGAGTCACCAGCATAGATGCTGCAGCTAAAGTCGAGGGTCTAGGGGGACATGGGCTGAGGACAGCTCCCAGGGGGGCACCTGTAGTCAAGGAGAGTATGGAGTAGCAGAAATGAGCCTACCATTGGGATGGCACCGATAATACTAACACTCAAAACTAAAAAATTTTAAATCAGGACGTTCCTTGTATATCAAAAAATGCAGACCTTTGAATGTTCTAGAAAATTGTAGACACTAAAGATTGTCTCTCTATAATTTCCTAGGATGCAAATGTGTGAAGCAGATTCTCTGAAATATGAGGGGGTGCCCACACAAGACTATACATTTCTCACGAAGGCAGGGTTTTGTGGTCCCCCCACTGCAGCCCAGGGAGGGTCTGGTACACGGTATCTGTCAAATGATAAAATGTTGTTCCAGCCAAAGATCCCTGTTTCCTCCCTTCACTCCTCCCAAAAGTCTTTTCTCTTTAAAGCTATACCCTAATCTGGAATAAATTAAGTTGAACACATGCATACGGAGTCGAAGAGTTGGAAGGGAAAGAGGACGTGGGTCCTTACCTGTTCCGGACCACGGGCAGTTTGTTCGGGGAGCCACTAGATGGCGGTGCGTATCCACTCATCAGGAGAAACCCGCACTCTCTGAGCCAGTTTCCAAACGTCTAATTCAAATGTAACAGGTGTAAATTCCTGGATGAGATCACAAAGCGAGTCTACCATTTCATTTGTCTTTAGTAACAGTCTGACTCACTAAACAAAAAAACACTACCTCCTGATAACGGGTAGCGCGCCGAACACAATCAACTATCAAACCCTATCCCCCAACCCCGGGTCCTTTTCCTGAGGTTTCCCAAACAACAGCAGAAGGCTACCTTCCCTTCAGTTAAGTAGACGCCTTCCTTCTTTCCCATCTACCTCTCTCTTCCTCAAAACCCTACTGCTGTCCTAAAAGAGCCAGAGCCCTTGACTTCTCATCCTAGGGACCCACGCCCTTCGTCAGCCATCTGCCAGGACCACCTGCAAACACCTGGCCTGACTCTGGAAGCCACCAGAGGTGATGCTGAGTTTGAACCAGAAGAGTTCACTCAGCGGAGGGTTGGGGATGGGTGGGGAGGTCCACAGCGACCATCCCATGCAGCCCGAGTAAGAAGTTCCCGAAGCTTGAGTGTAGAGTCAGTGGGAGGTTGGCTGATTGTAAGACGGGAAGGACTGCTGAGGATGGACCACGTGTGCCCCTCTGACATTGAGACCTAAACACTCTGAGCTATGAGGAGCCGGCAAAGGCTTTCCAGGTCTGTTACGGGTTGAACTGTGTCTCCCCCTCAAAAGATATGAAGCCTTGACCCCAGTCCCTTCGAATGTGATCTTGTTTGGAAGAAGGACATTGCAGATGTAATTGGTTAAGGTAAGATGAGGTCCAACACGGCTGGCGTCCTCGGGAGAGAAGAGACACAGGCACGTGACGAGGGAGACAGAGACTGGAGCCCCGTGGCTGCGAGCCAAGAGAGGGACACTAAAGATGGTCCCCAAACACCGGAGGCTGCAGGAGGCGAGGAAGCCCCCCCCCCCTGCACATCAGAGGGAGTACAGCCCCGCTGACCCCTTGGCTTTGGACTTCTGGCCTCCAGACCCGTGGGGCAGCACCTTTCTGTTGCTGTAAGCCCCCCAGTCTGTGGTGCTTTGTGACAGCAGCCCTAGGAAATGAATACAAGGTCATTGCCATGTCTGCTGGCCACTGGAGCCTGGCCTGGAAGGCTCACCCTGGCCTCACCCCTTCCCCGCTCTCCTATCCGTGCTTCAGGGATGGACTCAAAGCTTACCTGTCCCTTCAGGGAGCAGCAGCTTTAGACGTCCGTCCCAGGTGTGTGTGCCTGAGACCCACAAGAGCAGCCATGGGACTAGCCCTCATCCTGGGACTCCTGCCACAGGCGGGGAGGGAGGACTTCACCCAGCAGCTCCTTCCTCCTCCCTGACTCCATCCTGCCCCTGCCCTGTGAGTTCCCAAACCCCGCCAGGCCTGAGCTGTGGAAAGCTTTGACTTGAAGGACAGATTTACATTTTGAGTCACAAGGGTCTTGACTTCTCAAGGTCTGAAAATGAGACGGTTCTAATCCTCAAAAGCAACAGGAAAAGCTTAGGGATATCCTCTGGTCTTGGAAATAGGGATCAGATCCTACAGGTGTGAAGACAGTGGGGTGAGAGGGGAAAAAGTTCCCCTTTCCTTGTTCTGAACAAGGTCAGTTCATTCAATAAATGAGTTAAGCACACCGAACGTTTTCTCCCTACTCACTTTATTAGTTTTTGAAGAGTTGGCATCTTAAGTGATCCTAATGACACCGAATCTATCTTAATTATAACCCTTCCTCTCAGGGCACAGACATGTCTATTGGAGAATTTTCTAAATTTCTTAATTAACCTGCCCTGACTTTATGTTGCCAAAGATTGTGCTCTGAAACCTGTATGAGATATTCTATATAGGCTACCCCAGAGTAGTTAAATTTTTTTAACACCATAAAGCAAAAAAAGTATAGCAATAACCTGCTCAGTGACTAAAGGTCAGAAAGACTAAAGAAAATAGACAACAACCAGAATTTAAAGGTCAAGGGTTATAGAGATTCATATTCTGCACACATCATTTCCAAGGGAATGTTTGAAGATAGATTTTTTTTTAACCTGCCCCAAATCTAATGTTTGATGGTGAGGGTTTTATAAGCAAGCTTGAATTCATTAATATGTGGCTGTTTACTCTCTACTTTATCTTTCAAAGAAAGTAGTTAATCCTTCATCTAAACAGAGACCAGGCCTGGAGTTTAATGAGCAGAGGTTTAACTGGGAGGAAAACTCATCTTTTTCCCTGTTTCCCTTTAAGCTCTGGTCCCTTTCAGCAAGAGGAGGACTTGCCTGCAGACGTAATGAACCTGCAGCTCCTTCCTCCGGTCCCTTGTGAGGCCTGAGAGGGACCCCCTCTATTGTCACACGGTCTTAATGGCATATCCGACTGACAAAATTAAGATGATTTAACTGCAGTGGGTCAAGAGCATCCTATCTTTTCACTCCAGCTTGTCCTTTCCAGAAGATTCTTTAAGGTCAGGTAGCATTGGGGAGGCCGTGGGCATTTTGGGGACCCAACTAAGGCAAAGTCAAGCTAATGTGCGTTCAGGGGACGGGCTCTAAGGTGTTATTGGGGGAACCTCTGGCCTCCGGCTGGTTCTTGGTGGCTGCTGCCCTGGGGAGGGTCCCTGGGCTGCCGGGGCCGTCTGAGGCCCACATAGGTTGCCTCTCTGACCCCTCCGAGGGCCCTGGGGTCTTCTGCCTCCCCCCACTGTGGGCCCTGGGCCCCTCTTCACCTGCATGGCTCCTGGGTACCTTCTCCTCCAGACCCTCCTGGGCGTCTCCTTGCTCTGTCCCTGGGACCACACAGGCCACTCAGCACTCCCACGACAGGGCTTCCTGGGGAGAGCACCCCAAATTCCTGTCTGGAGCTACCACCAAGGCCATGCCAACCTGGAGATTATACCACTGAAACCACTGTCATTGCTTTTCTAGAACTCTGCCCCGGGGGTTAGTAGTGGGTGGAGAGCAACAGTTCCTTTCTTTGCTTCCTGAGCTTCCCTGAGAGAGGAAATGAGGAGCCTTAGTTGCACCAGACCCCCATCAGGCCTCCCAGGCAGGAGGCTGCCCCAGTGGGGATGAGGGTTCATAACTGCTGCACTAAAGGATGCTGGAAATCCACCCGGAAACAGATTTCCTACTGGAGGAGACTGCTGACCACCTCCTGCCAGCCCTTCCCCTTAGTCCAGAGACTCAGAGAAGAAGGCAGCCTACCCCACCCCCGTGAACGCACACACACACGCACGTACGTGTATATATATACAACACAACACAGACCACACACACACAGTGCGCATAAAACACGTACAGACATGCGCGCACAACACGCACACCAGAAACTCTTAGTAAACAAGATAATCTTATTATGATATTTTCAAAAATCAAAATTAACGTAAAAATTCCTGATGAACAACATATTAAAATTCTAAAGATCGGGTTCGACCCTGTGTTTGCACAACCTCACTTGCCTCGTGCTCATCCCAGCTCTGAAATAAAACGTTATTTATGAAAAGAGGGGGCCAGCCTGGGAGCCGTGGTTTGCTAACGTGACTTCTTTTTATAAATTTATTTATTTTATTTATTTTTGGCCACGTTGGGTCTTTGTTGCTGCGCGTGGGCTTTTCTCTAGTTGCGGTGAGCAGGGGCTACTCTTCGCTATGGTGCGCGGGCTTCTTGCGGTGTCTTCTCTTGTTGCGGAGCACGGGCTCTAGGTGTGCGGGCTTCAGGAGTGCTAACACGACTTTTTAAAATACTGCATTAAGACAGTATCTGTTCTGATTAATGAGTTGTCTGGAAGCCTCTTAAATTCTGTGCCCAAGGCCAGGGCCTCCGTCTCCTTACCCCTGGTCCTGCCCTGGGTAGTGGAGTCGGGATCTGAACACAGAAAGCCTGGCCCTGAGCCTGTGCTCTCAAACACTGGGCTCACCTTCCCTTAAAAGACCTGGAGGGGAAGGAGCATTGGGCTATCCTTGAGGTCAGAGACCCGGGGAGGTGAGGAAGCCATTCCTTCATTTACCTGTCCTGGTCCTGGCTAACTTGAGAAAACATCTCTCCATGGCCTACACTATGCTCTTAAAAATTTTTTTTAAACTGGCTCATTTTTAAGATATGGAAACAGATTCAGTGATATCTGAAACAATTTGCCTCAGTTTACTCAGCTGGTAAGGGGAGGGGCCAGGGTTCATCCTAGGACTCTGCTTCCAAAGCCAAGCTCTTTGACCAGGGCTGCCTGGAGTGCTTGTCATCTATGATACGTGTATTTAGTGAGATTAGACAAATGTAGGCCTGGAAGAGAGATTTTACCCTGAAATGAAGCCCAAGACACACAAAGAGATAAACAGAGACAAAGGCAGAGATGGGTGGGGGTGGGGGTGGGGAGGGGAGGAAAGGTGGGGGAGGGATGTAAAGGCGACGGGGGAGGAGAGGTAGGAAAGTGCAGGGCAGGCCCCGGAAGGATGCTCTCATTAGCAGAGGACGTTTGACGGACAGTACAGTTTGTCCTTCCATCTCAGGGACAGCCCTGTGAGGTACACAGAAGAGATGGCACAGGTGGGAAGTGAGAGGTGAGATGCTAGGTGACTCGTCCAAGGTCAGGTACTCAGTTGTGGTGCCAGGACCCGCCGGGAGGCGAGCCTGGCGCCCTCAGCTCCAGGCCTGCTGCTCTTTCTATTTTATCAGACGACTGTGTTTGGGAAAGAGACAGGGCTGGAAATGCGAGGCCATCAGAGCCTCCATCTGAGCTTGGAGTGGGGACCGTCGAGGGAGGAGTCGTGGAGGCTGACAGCAATGATTTCCCAAATCCCCTCAATGAAGAGATGCCTCTCCCTCGCCCCACCAACCTCACTTCCTTTAAAGCTCAGCTCACTGGCCTGTTGATTCCTGGAGCTCCTAGAAACCCCTGCTTCCCACCCCGGCCTCTCCTATGTGGCCTTCAACTCCAGGAATGCTGGAGGTCTTTGAGGGCTCAGGAGAGAGTCTGATAACATTAGAGCAAGGACGCGTTATCTCCCAGGCACTGAGGTTGGGTAACTTGCCCAAATCCCTTGCAGAATAAGTGCAGAGCCAGCGCCCGCTCTCTCCAAGCCAGGCTCTCCCCCGACTGAGACCTGGAAGGAAGTGTCTCCAGTTGCCAGCTCGCTGTCTGCATTACCATGACTCCAAGGTCCTCCCCAAAGTGTTTCCTATTCCAGGAAGCTCTCACCCAGGAAGCTGCGGATTACTTTGGCTTCCCAAATCTTCTTCAGAGACCCATCAGCTTTTCAATCGAGAGCATCAGAAATGGCTCACACCCCAAGACGCTTCCAACCTCTGCCTCTCTAATCCTTGCCTTGCGGTGCCCAGCCTAAGGGGTGGGGTTAGTGAGCTCACCCTACCTGAATCCAGGCTCCTTCCCATGAAAACCTACCTCAACCAGCCTTCAGAATCTCGGTGAGGATCCCGGCGTTGGCCTCCTTCCTCTGACTCTCCTCCCTGCTCCCCGCACAGTAAGAATGAACACAGCTGGGTCTGCTAACCAGCAGATTGTTTGGGCGATATTTTTTGCGGAGCTGGAATTTGATAACAGAAAGAAAAGAGGAAAAGTAAGAGTTCTCTGTGCTATACAGTAAGTGCTTATTATCAATAGTTATTTTATATATGGTAGTGTATGGGACAAGAATCTAAAAAAAAGTGGATCTATGTGTATGTATAACTGATTCACTTTGCTGTACACCTGAAACTAACACAACATTGTAAATCAACTATATTGCAATAACAAATATAGCAATATAAAAAAAAGAGAAATAAGACAAAGAAGGACGAATAGGGACATTTCACTGGGGACCAGGGACCAGCTCATGCAGCAGCAGGACATCCTGGGGCCCCGGGCCCACAGGGAACTCGGGCCTTGATGGACAGCAGAAGTGGAGGCAGCTACGTGGAATCCCAGGGTTAAATCTGCGGCCCTCCTGTGGCCTGTGTAGGCAGATCGCAAACTTGGTTCCCTATCCGCCAGGTGGAAGGGAAAGCTGGGTCTGCTAAAGAACCATCTTTCAGTCTCCTTTCCGGGAAAGGTTCAGGGTTTCAGGTTCCACAGCCCACATCTCCCTCCCCAGGATGCAGTCTGTCTGGCCAAGGGGAGCCTGCTGAGCCCTAGGGCCTCGACGGTCCTCAGCCGCGGCCACTACTCACTCTGCGGGCATCTGCTGCCGGTGGTCCAACCCCGACTAAGCTGGGCCTGGTGTGCTCCCTGCCAGCCTGGCCTCACCGCCTTCTCCCAGGAACAAGGTCTGACCTTGACTCCCATTTGCCCCCTGCAGGGAGTCCAATCCGAGGTCTTCCTAGAGTCCGGCCTCCTCTGCCCGCCCAGGTGACTGTCCTCCGGCGTGGGTGCTGCCTGCCCCGCCCTCCGCGGGGCCCACACAGCGGAAGCCACTCTCCAGCCCAGCTCTGGACTCATGGCACGCAGGCGGAACCCCTACACTAGATCGAGGTCTTGTGGAGGTTTTCTGCCCAGAACCCCAGAATGTCCAGACAACAAATGACCTGCCGTCAGCCTCCCCTCAGCCTGTTCACACATCATCCCTTCTCCAGACATCAGCCAGGAGAGGGAGGCCGGGGCCTGTGTTACCACCAACTGGGCGCTCAGCCAGCAGAAGCCTATTGTCTCCCAGTGCGGGTGCTCGAAGTTGAAGAGCAGGGTGTGGGCAGGGCTGGCTTCCTCTGAGGCCCCTCTCCTGGGCTTGCAGATGGCCGTCTCCCCGCTGTGTCCTCGCTGGTCGTCCCTCTGTGCCTGTCGGTGTCATAAATGCCTCTTTTTTTAATTTTTTTTTCCTTTTTGAATTCCATTTTACTTTTTTTTTTTTTCTTAATACAGCAGGTTCCCATCAGTCATCCATTCCACACATACCAGTGTATACATGCCAATCCCAATCTCCCAATCCATCCCCTGCCCCTGCTTTTCGCCCCCTGGTGCCTCTCTTATAAGGACACCAGCCATACAGGATCAGGGCCCACCCATAGGACCTCGTTTTACCCCAGTCACCTCTTTAAAGGCCCTGTCTCCGAATGCAATCACACCCCGAGGTGCTGGGGGTTAGGACGTCGACATATGAAATTGGGGTGTGGGACACAATTCAGCCCCAAGAACACGGCTCTTCTCTGCTGTTTCCCTCACGTTCCATTCTGTTCTCTTCCAATCCCCAGGGGCCAGAATCCCCGCCTGCCCATTTCTTTTTTCTTTCCAGATGGGAGTTTTCTCATCACTCCTCTTTCTAATCTGCCATCTCCCCTTCCATAATGGGGAAAAGGTGACCGTGGGACATGACTTTGAAGGGAAAGATGAGAAGTCCTTTGACTTCACATTGTCAAAGTCTTCTCTTCCTTACTTAGCTTTACGTGGAGGTCGAGGATCCCCGTGGATAAGCCTGGCAAGATGGTGAGGAAAGGAGGTTGATAGAACCGACGAGCAAGAGGAAGGGCAGGGCCTCCAGCAAAGGAGGGTGAGCTCGCCTGAGCTCCAGGATGCCCGGTGCTCTGCTCCCTCAGCCTTTCCTGCCCGGGCCCCTGCGGCACATTTACGTCCTGGGAGGAAAGGCTCTGTGCCAGTGGGGAGAGTTTGCTCCCTGCTTCTGTAACCATTTGGACCCCAGGAGAAGATAGAACCATAAAAGAGGGACCCTTTTCCCCACCTGGAGAGACTGCTGGGGCTCTCAGATTCTAGAACAGCGGGAGCACTCCCCCATGGGGCCAAGATTCCACAGTGACAACATGGGTCTAGCAAGCCACTGAAAATCTCAGTGATCATATGAACCCTTTGGCACCCTCAAGCTGTGAGGGTTGGGAAGATCCAGATTCTTTGAAGTGGATTGGAAAGGAAAAAAGTAAAAAAAAAAAAAAAAAAAGGACGCTAATTGACAACATTTTCATGGTACTTTGTTCTTTAATAGGCAGTATTGAGACCATTTACCATGTCCCTTTTGACCTACCATTCCTTTCGACTGTAATGAAATGAGTTTCTTGAATGGAATTTTTATAATTCTACTTTCTATGTTAGAGTAGTTAGTATGTGATGATGGGCCTGAAGCCAGCTGAACATCCTTTAGAAGTTTTCAAGGTATCTGATTGAGTTTATCAGCTTCTCTTTTGAAGCTTCTTTACTGCCTCTCTGAATGATTAGAGAGTTTTTTTATAATTGTGCAGAGCTTGACGTGATAATGAGACAATCAGAAAGTAGCTGCACAGACAGGGCAGAGGCACTGCTGCTTTACTGAGCAATGAAGGACCAACAGCTCTCCCTAGTGAAATAACAGGGGTATAAACGTTTCTATGAGCTACCTTAAAAACCCCATTCAATCCACACAAAGTCGGGATCAAACCTCTTTCTACTGCAGATCTTCACAAGTAGAATCGAAACGTATCAGTAAAACTTCTGATTATCAGTTAGGAATAAGTTAAACAATATATCAATTATTATATTTGTGACTGAAAGACTTTATAATATGCCCTTATTTAAAGAGTCTTAAATCTGAAAAAAACAGATAAAAGTGAATTTAATTGTCTCAGAACAACCATTCATCTTAACTTATCAAAACATAATGATAAGGGCTTATTAAAAGAATAGCAAATATTGATAGACTACTGGTAAGACCAAAAATATTTTGACTGGATTTTCATGAGAAATTGATAAATATGGTTAAAAAACTGCCACTAATACATTTGGGGAAAATTATAAAATGCCAAGAAAGAAACCCATATTCAATTTTTCTTTGCTCCAGGTGTGAACAATGCTTAGTAGAGACTGGGATATTCATGAAGGTCTTCCCTACTTGCTTCATTCATGCAAATGGAAAGTTATTCTGCATAATTCTCAATTAATGCACCACGGGAGAGGAGAGATTCCCACAAGACTTTGAAAATTAAATGGAAAGAGACCCAAAGGCCAATATTACATGGAGCCACAAATTGCAGACAGAAGTCAAGTCGGTAAGATTTGATAATCTAATGGAAAAGGCTTGATAGAGAAGAAATTACTTCCTTCAGATTCTACTAATTGTTGAATAGAACACGTATTCATGGGATTCATTCACAATCTAAGTGCATTCACTTGATGGGTTAGAGGAAAGCTCTTAACAAATTAAATTTTTAAATGTAAGCTGTACAGGGTTGGTTAACATTCAAGATTAACCCACCATTTTGAGGCATTCGGTGAAAAGAACAAAGAGAAGTTCAAGCTTTGAACCAGGAAGTGAAAAGTTCAAAGTTGTTTGGATTTTTCAGGCAGAAATATATGTGGTGACCTAGATGGGTGGGATGGGGGAGTGGGGTGGGAAGGAGGTCCAAGAGGGAGGGGATATATGTATACATATGGCTGATTCGCTTCGTTGTACAGCAGAAACTAACACAGCACTGTAAAGCAACTATACTCCAATTTTTAAAAAATCGAAGAATCCACGGTTAGGCATAGAGTTTCTGATATAGAGACCTAGAAAACTGAGTTTCAAAGCAATTGGTTTTCATTAACAGAATGTGATGGGTCATAAAAACCCCATCTAAATGGGTATAATGTCTGGAATGGGATCTAAATTTGGATCCCCGCTAATGTGCAGCAGTGGTTATTTGGGCCTCTCTATCCTCCCAAGCCTCTTCAAATGCACCTGTCCTGACCACGGAAATGCCTGGAAGTGAGGAGAGCTTGCTGTTTCCAGCTCAGGAGTTAATATCCTGTCTCCCACTTGCCTGCTTTTAATCCTTTGTGTCTCCCTGGTGACCTTGGTTCTTTGATCCTGTTGCTGTTTTTTCTCCCCTCTCTCTACAATATTTGCTCTCAAAAACTTAGCTATGGGGACAAGAAAAGGAAGCATATTTTCCCAAAGTAGCATCTTTTCAATCATTGTGAATGAGACTATGTTGACACAATATAATCACTGTTGAGATAACAATGAAAAGACAGTAGAAGTCTTGTGATTCCAACACTCGGGGGTGCGAGAGACCCTGACCAGTTCTTCCACTTACATAAACTAAGTCTGCTGGGCTACAAAATAATTAAATGTATTGACAAACTAATAAGAATCTTAAGAAAATGATGCAAATGAACTTACTTACAAAACAGAAATTGACTCACAGACATAGAAAAAACTTATGGTTACCAAAGGGGAAGGGTGGGGGAGGGATAAATTAGAACTTTGGGATGAACATACACACAATACTATATATACAACACATAAACAACAAAGACGTGCTGTATAGCGCATGGAACTCTACTCAATATCTTGTAATAACCTATAAGGGAAAAGAATATATATATTAAAATATATATATATTAAAAAGAGAAAAACAAGTCTTAAAAAAAAAGAAATTAAGGCCAAAAACTAAGTGAAAGTGGAACGTGAAATAGAAAGTACATTGCAAGCAGGTTTCAGCCCTGGGTTCATTTGCCAAACCTGGTGCCTTGGTCTTTGGCTTTTATGGCTGGTCCAAGAAGGAGAATCTAATAGGAGACCCCCTTGGTTTTTTTAATTGATGTGTAGTTGATTTATGATGTCATGCTAGTTTCAGGTGA